TGATGCTCAGCGATGTGGTTCCGGGGCTGGGTGTTGTTTCCCTCTCTTCCCTGCGCTGTAGCAAACAGGGGCCTGGCAATGTAGCCCGCACGTGAGCATCACCACGCCTCTTGGTCCTTGACCCTGCTCTGCAGGACTTGAAATACTCTTGATGCCTGTGGCAATGTATGATGCAGGCTTGAAACTGTGCTGTCAGAAGGGGGAAGAGCTGGAGGTGCTCCCTGTTCTGTGGCACATACTGGAGGAGGGTTGGATGAGATCTGTGTGACTGAGCTGTGACTAAGGCCCCTACTGTTCCTTATCCTGAGCTGGGGCAGGTGGTGAGGTGTTCCTTGCTGCTTTAACTTTGATATGTGAGCAGAGGAGGGCTCACGGTACCTAATGAGTGAAGGTTGTATGTGCCCATGTCCCACCTTGAGCCCTTCGGCTCTTGCAGCTGGCTTTTGTGTGGTGGGGCTGGGAGCAAGGAAGTGCCACTCTGCTCCAACTGTGTTCCTTTCTTACCAGTGATAATGGAGCTCAAGGCCTCAATCGAGCAGTGTGTGGGCACCAAGCCCCTTGAGAGCACTCCAGAGCCTGATGAACCGCTGCCAGCTACTGCCCCCCTGGATAGGACCCCCACACCCACCAGCACAGAGGTGAGATAGGGGCAGGACTAGCAGTTGTGGGGTGGGAGCTGCAGGATCAGCCCTTTGGTCTGACTGTGCCTGTGTCCCTCTACCCACAAACTCCTTCCAGCTGCCAGCTTTGCTGGAAGCCTGTGAGCCCCTTCTCAGTTAGTGGGGGGCTGCCCTACTGCGCTGGGGGCTTGGCTCAGTCCTTTTGCTGCATGTAAGGGTGCAGTCTGGGGAGGTAGGGGCTCACCTCAGCTTCTGGGGCTCATGTCTTCTTGTGGGGGCCTGGTCCTTTGTCCTGGAACCTGCTGCAGAACTGTGGGCCCACCTTTGGGCAGGGGTGGGGGTACAGCAGGACTAGCTCTGTGAATCTCTTGTAGGACCTTACCCCTGGCAGTGTGGAGGAGGCGGAGGAGGCAGAGCCTGATGAAGAGTTCAAAGACGCTATTGAGGTTTGAGGCTGGTGGGGACGGGCAGCTGAGGTGGGAAGGTGTAAGGGCCTTGGTGGGCAAGCTGTGTGCTCAGGAAGGGTGGCTGTGGGGCTACTGACTCCCATCTGTACTGCCTCTCCTCTCTGTCCAATGCTGCGGGAGAAGGAGACCCAGCTGCTGGTCATGGTGAGTACTGCCATGTCAAGGTGTACAAGAGGGGCATCTCTGCCCAGCTGGAGCTGGCAGCCTTTGCCTTGTTTGCTGGTGGCTTGTGGCGATGCCAGGTGGAGCATCCTGCCTGTTGGGTGCCCATCTCTGGGGTGGGCTGCCCTGCAACCCTCGAGCGTGCCCCCAGCCACCCCTCCATGCTCTGCTCTTTGCAGGAGGATGACGAGAGCTCTCAGTGCTCAGCAGATTTTGACCTCAGCCTCCCAGACAACGGTTTTATGAGCAAAAATGAGGTGATCCGCAGCAAAGTGTCACGCCTGACTGAGCGTCTGCGCAAGCGCTACCCCAGCAACAACTTTGGTAAGGCTGGGAGCAGGTGCTGCTTGGGGGAGCTCAGCAGAGTGGGGTCTGTGCTGCTCCCAGTGCTGACCACTGAACTGGGAGCGGACACAGTGGTGTGGTACCTGCTAGGGCTGTGCTGACATCTCCAATAACCTCCCCCTCCATGGGCAGGGATGTTCCCAGCCCTCATAGGAAGGGCAAGGATGGGAAGGTGCAGCAATGTCATCTCCAAGCAGAGCCTTTGTGACAGCTGTGGGTGTTCCTGTACTTCTCACAGTCCCAGGCAGCACAGCCCTGCCTGACCTCTGCTCTCTTTCTTCCAGGGAGCTGCACGGGCTGTGCAGCCACCTTCTCTGTGCTCAAGAAAAGGGTGAGTCTTCAGCTTCTACCCCAGCTTGCTGCCTGCACCTGGGGCAGAGGTGTTGCACATGTCTGGCTTGCCCTGGATTTCTCCGGCAGCTTGGGTGGCTGGCCTCAGTCAGAGCTCAGCAGCAGATGACTTCAGCTAAGTGCTGGGTGTTGTCACATGCCTAATGGTGCCAGGGATCCCTTGTGCTGTGGAGCCTTTGTCTCTTTGCTCTTTGGAAGCTGCCTCAGGCCAAACCCGTGTGTGCTGGTTTAGCCCATTTCCTGTGTCCTGAGAGCTTTCCGGTGAAGCAGAGTGTGGGTCTGCTTGTGGGAACTAGAGGAGCAAAGGCCACCCCTGTTGTCTTCTCTGAGCCCCTGCATGTGATGCTTGGCACACAGTCCCCTGGGCAGTTCTGGGAAGGATGTGTCTCTTGTCCCCCCCCAGACTCATGTTGCTGTCTTTCTGCTGCCTCCCATTCTCCAGATTTGTGGCCCCCTCCCCTTACTCCTGAGTTAGTCTGAGATATGTCTGGGACTCCCTGGAGCTCACTTCCTCCTGGGTTACAGCATAGGAAGTGATATAGTGTCATTAAACCTCATGGAGCCTGTGCTCACAGTGCTTTCTTGGGCTGGGCACAGGCTGATGTTGGAGCATACGTGAATGCAGATCCAGCGTTAGGCCTGGGTGATTTGTCCAGGTGTTGCTGGCAGATGACCCCTCTGCTGTTGCTTTTGGGGCTCAGAGCTTGCACCCACTCCCCTTCAGCAGGGAATGCTGTTAGCAGTGCTCTGACCCTGGAACTTGCCAGGAAGGGCTGGGGGTGGGCCCGGAGTAGTGTCTCACCTCCATCTCTCTCCACAGCGGAGCTGCAGTAACTGTGGGAATAGCTTCTGCTCCAGGTGTTGTTCATTCAAAGTCCCCAAGGCTGTGATGGGAGCCACGGGTGAGTAGAAAGGTGGTGGAGGGCAGAGCTCCTGCTCCCACTTGCACTGCCTGCTGCAGGGATTTGCCCCAGCCCTGGTGGGGAGGGTAGATGGGACCTGCCCAGTGCAGCCTGGCTTGGGACAGAGCAGTGGTGGGTGAACAGCTCTGTGGCTGGGGTCCCTAGCCCATGGTGGGGAAGGGGAGCATCTCTGACACCTGCTTTCCTTTCCAGCCCCAGAGGCTCAGAGGGAGACGGTGTTTGTGTGTGCTCTGTGCAACCAGGTGCTCATCAAGTGACTGAAACAGGCCCAGCCAGCTCCTGGGTCCTGCACTGGCTGACACTGGGGCAGCACGTGCCCTTGCATCTGGGAGCCTGGGCTGCTTGGTTCCCGTGTGGGGTCACCCTGATGGAGGACGCTTGCGCTCACTGTTCCTCCTGCCAGCGCCTGGCTGGGGGCAGACCAGCCCTCCTTGCCACACAACATCTGCCACACCAGCTGGGTCCCTGCGGCACAGCCTTGCTCACAACTGTGCCCCCCCATCCCTGTGGCTGCCCGCTGGCAGCTGCTCCAAGCCCTGGGTGCTCCCTGGTGCTCACTGTGCCCTGCCACGTACTTGCCCAGGCCCTGTGGCCTGGCTCAGGGATGGAGGAGCCATCCTTCCCACTTGTGGTCCTACCTCCACCTTCTGAGTGGGGCCGAACAGCCTTGGGGCTCTGTCCCTACCTTTCCCAGCACTGTGCTAGGTGAGTGTGTTTTTGAGATCAAGTCTGAGCTCTACCTGCATCCCCAGGAGATGTGGTCTTTGGTCCTGGCTCAGCTGAGACCCTGCTAGTCACTCCTGTGCTCCTTGGCCTCATTGCCTTGCAGGTTTAGTCTTTACTCGCCCCATTTTTGGCTGTAGCGCAGAGGAGGCAAGAGGGTAAGTTTGGGCTGGGCTGTGTGGCCGAGTCTCCAGCTGCAGCATGAGAAGAGGCATGTGTTGGTGCTGCTCTGTGCACTTAGTGACTGCTGCTTTCTACTACAGATTAATATATAAGTGTATATAGAGAATGACCAATAAATCTCTTGCCCTCAGCTGGCTCTTTCTTGCCCCAGTGAAAGCTGTCCTAGCCCTACATCACCCTGGCACCTCTGTGACCTTGGCCCCACTGCCCTGCACAGGGTCGTGGAGAAATGGTGCATCTCTGCCACCAGCTCTCCTTGTTCACTGGGGTTTCCATCTTCTGTCACGCTGTGGCCTTGTTTGCCCTCTGCTCACGGCTGTGTGCAGCTGCCCCTCCACAGCTGTGCCAGGGCCAGATCCTGCTGGGCTGGAGCCAGGGAGAAGCCAGCTCTGGCAGGAGCTGCCAGGCTTCCTCTCTGCCTCCCGGGGCTGCTCCTTCCCCTGCCCTGCCCAGACGGTGGTCCGGGCAGCTGCCTGCGTGCACAAGGGTGACCTTTCCCTGTGTGAACAGCAAAGCTCCCAGCTATCCCAGGAATGTGACCCTGGCTGCTGTGCAACTGGGAATGGCCATGGCCTGGGTCCCTGCCAGCCAGCTGCAGCTTCCCCCCAGCCAGGGGATCTGGGGGGGCCGGTGCTCTTGGGCTGGTATTGCCCAGTGCCCACCAGGCTGGGACACCCACCAGCCTGAGAAGGTGCTGGGGGCCCAGATCTTGCTGCTGATTGTACACCCTACCAGCGTGGGAGCTTGCATGGGGCAGCCCCAGGGGCAGCCTGAGCCCTTGTCAGCCATGGGCTCGTAAACTGCTTCCTCATGCTGTGCCCTATGGAAATCCAGGGAAAAGTTGCAACTTGGCAGTGATGATGAGGGTGGGTGTGCTCCAAGGCCAGGGTGCATGTGGGGGGCTGGCGTGCAGAGGGCTCAGCAGTTACTGGGGGGCAGCGGAGCGGCTGTAACATTGGGGAGGGGGATGTTTAGCACCCCAAGAGCTGTGGGGGTTGTGTTTGTGGGTCAGGTGTATTTGCAATGGGGCCAGTACTGGTCTGCAAGGGGCTGGGGGTGGTTGAGCTGTAGAGCTCAGATGGCCGACTGTGGGAGGCAGAGACACCTTACTTGTCTTTTTAGACAAAACACTTGGAGCGATGAGCGCGATGGCTGTGTATGTCTAAACGCTCCCTGGAAAGATGTTAATGATGGAAAATACAGAGGGCTACAGATAAACTTGGGCTGTGGGAGATGGGGGTTTTATTTGCGCATTTTAAATTGTGCAGTAAAATGACATAATTGATGATGTTTATTCCTATGGCAGCATGCTCAGCAGCCTTGCTCTGAACATACCATCTAAGAATATTTGAGTTTTTTCCCCAGTGTT